TAGAAAACTAAAAATGTGTTTATAATTTGTAGTTAAAACAATTAGTAAAAATCAACTGACGTAATTATATTTCTAAAATGTTAGAAGAAAAAAATATTCTCTATATTATTTCTAAGATCTATATATTTCATGAAATATGAACAGTCTATTTTTTATTAAAAGATTTGGACTTCAATAAAAATAAAATCTTACATTCAACTAAGTTCGATTTGTTTAACCATTCATTTAATTTAAAACATTATTTTTAACTTTTTTTATTTTTTAACCTACTAGAAAGACCAACGTGTAAAATATATTATCATAAAATCTCAAATATTTTTCTATGATGAACAAAAATCAAAATATATATAAACTCACGAGACGAAGATAAATGACAAAAAAAAATGAGAAGTAATCATACTATAAATATAGATTAGAAGATTATTGATAAATTTTATCATGATATATATATATTGTAAGCGAAACATTAGTTGATCATGATAAATCATATAAACAAATCATGGTTTATTTTTTTAGTGACAAAGCATAAAGATCTTGTATTTTTTCTACTTCAATTTAAACAGTTTTTTCTAATTGAAATATTCCATGCAAAACATAAGTAAAATATAAGCAAAATACAAAATAAATTTAAGCAAACAAAAATGCAAAGACTTAATGTTTTGATCATTTTTATAAAACTTAACAAAAAACATAAAGCTTAATTACGATATAATGAGTTATTTACACTTAAAGATATTGAAATAAATAATATTTGTATATGGTTTGATCATTTTTACATATAAAAATACCAAAACTAATGGCATTAACATATGTTTGATAATAAGTATTTAATTTTATTATATTTATGCATAATACATATTTCTTTTTTACGTTTGTAGATATTGAAAATCATATGATTTGTCATACACGTTTAAATACACGTTTACATGTTAAAATTAATTAGTCAACCTAATTATTTATTCCGCGCTTGGACGCGGTCAAAATCTAGTTATTATTAATATAATACACCTAAGAGACTAAAAACCGAAGGAGAGCGATGGACACGCTCTAGCCCTGATTGAGCAACTAGCCCCCATCCCCAGTAAAGTCCTATATGATTAAATGTGAAGACGACTCGCGTTTTGTTAGAAAAACCATGAAATTTAAGAATGATATAAAAATTAGTTTTTGTTTTGTTTTTCTAT